ACATCGTGCTACAATGCAAGGAACAACAAAAAAGTCTCACTTCCACCTGATGTATGGGGGGAAGCCGCGCTTGCCAGTGCAATATAAGACTTGTCCACAACAACAACATTGGGACAGTAAGAGATACACAAGTGTGCAGAAACAAGCTATCCAGAATAAACAAGAGAATCAAAAAGTAGCCACCGAGAGATCTGACAAGAAACAAATCAAAGCTTCGGAGCCGTTTGAAGTAGGCGACCAGATGAAATGAGGAGAACGAACCACTTGAGGTGGACCGGGATCAGAGAAAGCGTCTCTCAAAGTGAGAGGGACCATATGTTGTCCTATATTATACCGAAGACCTATCGAAACAAGGAAAGAGACTCTTACGGGCAGCGCTCTTGACAGGTTTTCGGCTAGAGTTATTTGTAGTAATATGGTTGTGGTGGATCCAGGTGGCTTAACACCCATGAATGACTTATATTTCATTTCATAAGTCAATGATGTTTCTGTTGTCGACCGCCATGGTGAGAATGGAAATTCGGATTGTGACGGTCAGCCTGATCACGCTGTGATCGGACGTTAAGCCTAAGGTTTACTGAACAACCAAGTATAAATCAATATGGCAGGTTAATTATACAGCAGCTTGATCATGTGATTTACAGCTGGTTACCATAAATTTACTAAAAATGTCTACAAATAGCGTGAGTATAATATACATTAATGCTACTGATTTTATCGCTCTGGTCTTCTGTCAACGAATAGACTTCAAAGCTATGATAGCAACTGCTACTGGTATGGATAAACAGGTTCATTGAACGTCCACAAAATGTTCACCACCATTGACATTTGAATCTAGCTCACATTTAGGTCGTGAAATAATCTCATTGGACAACTTTTCGTCCCATGGTTTAACCTTCTGCATATCGACAACTAGTAAGAGCAGTTTGCTATCTTCTGACCTCACCGGCCGGAAAATGTATGAATATGGATTGTTTTCCCTCAATAAAAAACCTATTGTCTTCTCCCGCCGTGGTACCACCTACCTTGCACTACCATGGAATCAGGTTTTCTGATTCAACTGCTGTAATTTGGCATGACCGGAAAAACAAATGAATAGATGATGACTTTTAAATGATATTTCTACCATTTCCCGCTATCGCACTGACGTTTTCCCCAGAATTCTCCATTTGCTGATATATGAAGTCAGAATGGTTAGTCGCCTAAGACCTATGTGAAATCACTACCCATGTTATGTGGAAGGATACCTCAGTTTGTAGTGAATGGAGCAGCTGTTATTAACTGTGATGCATATTCCTTTAAGACAGGCTTGTCCAGTAGGCTGAATGCTCGAACACATCTAAAATGCCAGACCCAAAAGACATTCTTTTTACTCCTAACCACTTTGGTGCACCAGAACGTGCTTCAAAGAGAGAGAATATTAAGGTGACAACACAAAATCTAAGGCATTACGCCAAAACAATCGCCGCAAGAAGCAAAGGAAAAGTGAGGGTGAGCCGCAAGAAATAATTATATCACAAGGAGCTGTGCACAATCCTTGTGATAAAGTTGTCTTCGAAATCCAGTATTATTCGAGACTGGCTGCCGGAGGAATAAAATGAGCTTTCGCTCTGATAAAGCTGTCATACCTCGGTAATACAAGTCTTTGCTGAGTTAGTCATGTTCATAGTCTCGGAATGTGTGCCCAGCGTGCCGATAGAACCCTGATGCGGTATCCGACCTTCCAGAGAGAAGAAATATCTGCTGGCGTAACACTATCCAATGAAATTTTGTCTCCTTTAAAATTATTGCCTCTTCCTCCTTGTCTCGCGCATCAGCCACCGTGTGATTACTTTCGATCAGGTCAACATGCTGACTAAATGAGTCATGATTTCCATTACCCCTGACTGACTGGAGTCCAACTTAAAATTTAGCACACAAGTGCGGCAGTTCAAATTCCCACACTCGACACGTCACCCAAAGGCAGAAAAGAGAGTAGAAAAACGAGATCGAAAGTACCAGAATAAGCAGAAATATTGGCCCGGAGAAACAATAGGGTGTAGTCGACATGGAAAATCAAAAGGGGTAAGTGCATCTGCCCTAATGAGAACGCTTTTGAGCCAAATCTCCAATATTCTCCGGCCAACTATACATGTGGTGAGAGCTGTCTGCTAGCCAAAATCGGTTGACAGCAATTCGACCCAAATCTTGGTCAAACAAGAACAAAGCTTAACCTTGGAGAACTCAACAACCAGTCACAGCAGACTTGGCGTGGGGGGATACGATTCGCAGATATGTCACCAAACTGTCTAAGAAACGGCAACAAAGATTTGACAGAACAACTTTCATCAGAAAATCAACCAGTCAGAAGGCGTTGCTTCTCTGCTAACAATAACGAATAATAATGTACATAGAAATCTATAGATATCTGTTGATTCCCTCAATAAACGATCTGTTGCCTGTCCTTCGTTTTCCGTCGTTACAGACAGCCGATACCTCCCCACTTGACTCAAACTAACTCTCAAAGATTCCATGGACTAATCGCAGGTTTTCGTTTGATCGCCCCAAACTCTGTTCTAAATCTATCTTTTGTCAGATAACATTAACTGTCGAGAAAGGAGATGGTTAAGCATGATCAGCACGCGTTCCTTCCACCTCAATCAATTCACCTTTACAACCCTACTGATCGACTTACCCTCCCTACTTAACACCCTATACCTAACATGACATTCCTCACCATGGAATAACACGAAACGCATCTAACGAGCTTAGAATAAAGTTAATTGTTTTGTTACACTGTATAGCAAGCACTTTAACAGATACTCCAGCGTTTTAATAAAATTGATCTGACACCTTTAGAATAGTCAAACATCAAATACCATCAGCCTGAGGAAATCCAAGTGGTAATTGACTGCCTGCGTCCTATCTCTACACAGAGGCTCAGTGAGTTCGATTCGCAATAAATTATATCCTCGCTAAAATTCAATCGTAATGACTGTCAAACTTTGTCGTTTACTTTTGTAAACTAAGTAAATTCAGATAATTTTCAACCCGGGGTTGGAAGATATATTCCATAATTTTTGCACCAGAAAGTTTGCTTGTTTTCCGTATGCATTTTTCTTCAGGGAACCCTTCGGAAAAAACTTTGCGGAAACCAAAGTATTACCGAAAAAATATGTATTTGTAATTGCAGCACTTGCCAGAAAATTTTGGGTGATAGGTACATACTTGTTAAGTTAAGAAATAATATATGAGTTTTAACATCTCTAGGTGTGAGACAGAGGCTAAGAATTTTTCGGAATTAGCAAACAGAAGATGCAATATAGAACTAATTTTATGTTGTATGCTTATTTTTTGTCCCACACCAAACCATACAACTTTACTATTAACACATAATTTTCGTTGGGAAATAAAGGAACCCTTAGGCATATGACAGCCAAACATGTAAATCAGTCAGCTGTATAGCTGAATCTGACCGAAAAATATAAGTAACAATGGGTTCTACAGGCGAACTAGCCCAAAACTTACTGCCCGTATAACAAACAGAAGAAATTAGAGGTATATCGAACATATAATAAGGAGACAGTTGATTAACATTACAGCCCAGGTCCTTGAGTGGAACGTTATTAGAAAGGGGCAATCTGGGCATCTATGAGATACACGAAGTAGATAATGTGGGATGGAAAAAGAAGTATGCGTGTAGTCATGGGGTCACGTTAAAATAATGGCAGAGAATACAGTACAGTGAAGGTGATCTGTTGAAGCTCTGCGCTTCACTTGAAACGCTTGAGATGAATAGCAATAATGAAAGACGGTCAGTTAAAGTAATACGTCGCATTCTAAATCACCAGCATGAAGATTTTTAATCAGACACCTCGAAGAAAACGTGATATCTGCCTCACTTGTAGGGGCGCTAACAAACACTGTGCGTAGCGTGTGCCAGCTGAAGGTAGAAAGGCTGCACATTTAGAAAGTGGCTGGCTTGAGATTCTTCAACAGCTCAGCCATAATAATTATGGAGGCCAAGACTAGTTTCATCCTCAGCTTTGAAGAGTAACCAGGCTTCTGCTTGGATTATTCAGTATGTCACTAAACTACTCTGTCTTTAGGAAGCTGGAGATACCATTATCAGTCCGGTCATCAAAAGACATTTAGGTATTTTACCGAAAACTGTAGTTCTGTCGAACTGACTAACATGGCTGTCAAATAAACGAAGAAAATTGCTCGTGGTAGTTATACTTACTCCAGGAGATAAATATTTCAAAAGAAACAGAGTGACATATGGACGGCTCACTCTTACTTGACTAACAACCTTGTGATAAGAAACAGCTAGGCTATAGCAGTCAAGGGCCACTTTCCTTGACAACTCTTTTCTTGATTTTGCTTTGATTAGGTTCATTAAAAAATATACTGACAGTTTTGGGGTGTATGAAGCGACTAGTGACTGGATTACACTGTGCGAACTTACGCGTTAACATAGTCTTGTGCTCATGTCATCCAACGAACAGCAAATTTCATGGTATTGTTCTCAGTACAATTCTCTTATGAAATATTTATGGAATTTAAGTCTACTTGCCCAGTACTTTGAAGTGATTTTAGTCTACGAACTGCATAAAAAACACTGGTGTTGCTGGAAGTTCAAGATATAATTATATGGTGGTGAGAAAAGAAATGAGATAAAAAAAATTGTCAAACGAATTGCGTACATCATAGACCATTTAGAGTGAACTAATTACTGGTTTGTAAGGTAGAGCGAAGTGAAGAGACGTTTTATGAGTATTGTTGCTGAAAAATACGAGCACTATTATCCACGTTCAAACAGTCAAATTCTAGATATTCGTTTCGCAGATCAAACTTAAATGTATTTGAACTCTTTATCGAAGTCTTCAGTACCAGTACGTATCAGCAAATTGAGGCATGCATTCATTAATCGTTATACAGAAAATTATAGGCGTGAATATAAAAACCAAGGTTTAGACCAAATGCTGTCTTTTACTACTTCAAATATCAAACGAAAGTTCATCGACCTTTAAGAACACTTTTGAATACTTGATGGTTTGCTGCCGAAAGACGCTATAGTCAGTTTCAAGGTCACGATGGGTTCCTGCCTAGTTAATGATATTTTTGGACCATAAGATGTACAAAAATATCCAGCTTCAAAATGTCGTCTCAAAATTTACTTAAATTCGGTGTTGAATTTAAGGGGAATGGACAATTGTTCACTCTTGAATCTGTAAGATTACATACATTTCTAATGAATGTATTGTTAGCCAGCCGTCTATGATAACATATTGTCTGTGGTTTCAAAACAGTAGGTTTAATTAATTTTTTCTTCATATGTGTAACAGATTTGGAATTTCAGAGGCTGAAATTCCCAACTACTGCCTCCGGAAAACCAATCGTGATGGGGCAACAGAATACTATACGAACGAAGAGGTTAGAATATTTTTTACGAAATTAATACCAATAGAATTGTCGAATAAAAACTGGAGATGTTGTCCAGTTGGTTGAAATTCCGGTAAGTTATTGAAAAATAATGGTTTTTTAAATCAAAAAACAAGCAATTTTGAAACATCTAATCCACTGTCTTAAGTGAATTGTTTCTACATCTCAAACTTAATGGAACTACTCCCAAAACGTTTAATTCGACTAAATATTCGTCCTCAATACAATACTGATTTGGACTATGATGAGAACTTCCATTAAATTGGTGTTTCATAACTTTTGTAGCGTTTACTTAAGTGCATAGATAAAAATGAATTTTATCACCTGATTTACACCTTATTTTTCGTCATAGTTATAGAAAGTATTAAATAATTTCGTAACTCTTTCTGATTTATTTATCTCCCGATGAAAACATTTACCAGTATTTAATTGTACTTGGTGACTCTTTCCTTTTCACCAGTTAAAGATCGAAGTTTATGGCTGATAAAACACATCCACAAATACAGCTAAAATCCATTGGGATCGAAAAAAGATGGAGATTTCTTATGTTTGCCGGTAGATCAGAGTTCTTTATCTTTTTTCTAGAAACACTTGCCATTTAGAAACTCGTCTCCTTCTGACTCATACCGTGACCAATCATTCATTACTCCCTTTCCCTCTAACCGGGAAATAGTGAATGGTGTACAGAGATGCTTTCCTAAAACCCCTTTTGACCATAGAATTTAATATAAGAAGAGGAGATTACCATTTATTAGTAACATATACTTAATAAGGAGGATAATTAGCATATTTGCTGATAAGGGCCTAGTTAACAAAGATTCGACTTTTAAAATCATGTCGCAATAACATATGTGGTTTAATTTCACACTGTATCAAAGAACTTTGAAGTACATTCTGTATTTTAAAAATAATTTACCTGACTTCCAAAAGAATACTAGAGAGAAGGGACTTAAGGTTTTCATTTCAACTTTTCGACAGCCATTATCTCTTTTATGATATGAGTTTCCACCACTGTTTATGCAATTTCGCGGACTTTCGTGGGCGGAATAGACTTTGTTCTGTGTTTAGAAGAATCTACGAATGAGAAAAATAGCCATTAAATTGTGAATATCAGTTTACTTGATGTCTTATGATGGTTTGAATAACGTGAGAAACAGCTGATAACTTGATATAACGGTGATATTTGTGAGTATTTGCCGTTAACGTAAAGTGCTAAATCTTTTCTAACATAAGAAGCACATTTTAGTATAAAGAGAAAGTGAATTTGATAAACATAGTTAATACACTAACAAAACCTTTTTAAATTAATTTGTACCCATATTTCTGAGAGGTTTGAATGATATGGAAGTGTTTTCATATATGGTAATTATCACACTGTCAACTAAGATTTTAAAAACCATCTGTTGGCATTGTGATGAGTTTTAGGTTTGTGGTAAAAGCCTTGTAATGTACACACTGCTAGTTAAGATCACAATTTCCTGAATCAAGGAAGTGATTCATGTGGCTCACTTAAAAACACAGCGGTCCCCGCAGCTTGAAACACACAAATGGTAGTCAGATAACACACAGTTTTATACACTGTGTAAAATAAGCCATATTGCCAAGAATACTAACTAGATTTTTTTAGAAATATATACAACAGTCCATGAGGCTATTAACCGTTGTTTCTGGGTGTAGATTGTCTAACCAGAGCCTATGGGATGTCGGAAACAGTTAGCTAGAAATTATCAGCGTATTGGCTTAATACCCTTTATTATGGCACATACCTATTCACTCCTTGTCGTTATTCAGATTCTAAAAAATATCCTCACTAATCTTCACTTAATTGTTCTGTCTCCCGTACAGTTTCTCTCGTTTTAGTTTCATTACATTACGCTTTCCCTACCTTATTTGTGCTTTTGTGAAGCATCAGTTGCTACATTTTTGTCCAAAGTTATACACTGATTAGTCTTCCAATCAGTAACTATTTTTTATCATATTCCATGTTCAAAGTTACATTCTTCCTGGATTACTGAATTGAAATGATCATTATGCTCAATATATTGTTCCTCCTTTTTTTCAGATTTTATAAAAGGGTATAGTATGAAGCAGATGTATGTTCACTTGACTGTGTACCTATTGTGTTTGTGTGTCTCTTATAGGACTCAAGATAACCTGAATATAACTCTAAATAGGATGAAAGTTTTTTTAACTTAAAAAAACTGTTGTGTGGCTTTCATAGGATAATTGGTAGACCAATGCCAAATATTCGTTGTGACATATATATATATTTACATTTATGGTATTTTAAAAACCATCACATATTGAGAAACGATAACTCAACACTTGTATCCCAACTTTCGACACTTTTCTTGAAAAAAACCTGTGTGAAAATCAGCTATAATGATTAGAGAGAATGGACTGAAATGTTAATTTAAAAAGTCGCCAGTTGTATTGTGTAAGGAAAAGCATGGGATAAGTGGTTGTGTAGTACACATGTGATCGTGTGATTATTTATCTGAAAAAGGTGAAATATAACAAACCTAATAGAGATAGTTTATTTCAGTAATCCAGGACAAAAAAATCATTTCGATCCAGTCATCCAACTTATATACATCAGTTACAGGGTTTCATCATGAGCTGACATTGGTTAGAGAACCATTAGAAAACCTGGGAGTACTGGACAACTGTTTCGTCCTAGTTTGGGACTCTTCATCATTACGCACCCACCAACTGGGTTCGAACCCAGGACCTTCTGGTTACAAGGCGAGCTCGTATACCATTAAGCCACTGGGACCCGATCCAATGGCCCATGAATTCTAACTTCTGCCAATTCACGACATAGCGCAACCGCTAGCCAATGTCTTCGGCGAGTATTTGTCCTCACACCCGACCTGCTGCACCCTACTGGTCACGACTTCCCACTGGAACCCCAGGTAACTACCTGCCTGAATAGGGCCAGTCACCAGTGAGCACATCAAAATGAGGGAAAGATATGGTTACTCAGAGCACTCGTAGTTACTCATAAAGATTTATAGATTTATTCTTGAGGACAAAACAATAGCCTCTATGAATAAGACTGACACATATAAGTTAAGTATTATATATTTATTTCACAAATTTGCCTCAACTTCAACCAGAATAGCAACGAAGCGATTCACATTAGCTCTCTTCTCCATTCAAACAAAGTAGGGATATTTATCAACCACAGTTCAATAAATTTCAGTACAACATTCATAATTAAGAATAGAGTATTAATTAAAGGGTGGAGTCGAATGGTAAGGAAATAAAACCTATGCTCTGAGTTGTGTTCCAGTTCAAATGAAAGGAAAGTAATATCAAACCGGTCAGACAATTGGCATGACTGGTCAGTTGTCAACTTCTTGATTAGATAATCAACACTGCAAGAGTAGTTCATATACTGTACAAGTGATATCAGCTTGTTAAAAGTAAATTTGGTCAAGGCAGTGCAATTCAGTAGCCTATAGCATAAAACGTCAGTGAGGTGAAAACTTCCAGATGTTCAATAAAATATGTAGTCCACCGCCGAATTAAAGTTTGCACAGGAAATTTCCTACTCTGAGATATAGGTGGTGTGACACTGATTCCTCTCTGGTTACCTATTGATTGAGAGCGCTTAACCACTTGCATGAATTAGTTGCTATCTGGTAGCTAACACAACACATGGTGTTGTAGTGTTTATGCAATCAGTCAATCAAGTCTTGTAACCTGGCGCTTAAACTAAGCCACACACCATTTGGCGGCAAGTGCCAGCATCCTTCTGATTATCGAAAGGTATTCAAGCGTTGCTTTGCAGGGATTTGATCAATATCAGGATTTCCATCATGAGTTGGTATCGGTTAGAGAACCAATGGAAAGCCTGGGAGTACTGGACAGCTGTTTTGTCTCAATTTGAAACTCTTCACCAGTACGCACCCACCAGGGTCCGAACCCAGAACCCCTAGCCGCAAGGCAAGCTCGTAGGCCATTAAACCACTGGAGCCCGACCCAATGGCCCAAAAGACAATTGGTAGGATGCTGTGAACAAAGGTTGTCTGATTATTAGTCACTTATATGTCAAGCTCATTCGACATCTCCGTAAAATACATGTGTCAATGGTGTTCGGAACTTACTACACTGAAGTCGAAGACTTCACTAAACTGTTCCCAATTTGACTGAAATAGACAGCTTTCTAATGGCTACGGATCAAAACGAAGCCTGTTCGAAAGAATTCCTATTGAATGATCTCCACTTTCATACACTTTGGAACTCAGAATGACGAAGATTGAGTTCATGAATCTATAGAAACATCAACTGTGAATGTAAATACAATTTTATGACATACAAGAATTCAGTAAAAAGCAGTCTTTAATGAATTTATATATTTCGGAAGGACTCATCAGCTGAATATCTTACTAGCATGATTATTTATTAGTAGTTTATAAGCTTAAAATGTGTACAAGTACATGAACATGGTATCATAATTGTTACTTGTTTTAAATTTACCACGGGAAAAGAATGTTTTCAGTCCTTTTATTGCAATTTTGTTAGCAAATACTGGATTTCACGAGTACAAATCTTTAAAGAAATATTATTACCCAGGTTATAAACCTTCAGCACACATATCCCACAGTTTTTAAGCTGTCACTAATGCCAGTTCAAAACCATTGTATAAGTCCATAAATTGCTAAAGTTTAACCTTTCTACCACATAATTTTTGACTATTATCTGTTTATCTTGTCAATAAAATAGTCTGATTAATTTTTCTATCTTAACACTTTGTTTATTTATCTATGTGACTGCTATTATCAGCGACTATTGTTAATATTTATGAAAATAATCAATCATGCATTTTTAAACTTCCGGAATTGTGAGGGTCAAATATTTAAACAATCTACTCTAATTGATTACTTGACCATGTAGTTTTGGACATGTTAACAGAAATGATCATTTTATCAATGAAACGATTCCATTTTCGTTCATTTATAATCATATATATATATATATATATATATATGCACACGTTACATTCAATGGCTGACATGTCTGTGTATAGATGCGTTCATGTGAATCGATACTAAGGCTAAGATGCAG